GCGTTTTTCCAACTGTATGGAAGGAATCGTTCATAACCCCCTTACATAAAAGCGGTAGCAGGTCTTCAGTGGAGAACTACCGGGGCATAGCTAAGCTTTCTGCAATTCCTAAATTATTTGAAGCAATTATAACAAATCAGTTGACGCATTCTATCTCTTCATACAGTCAACACAGTCAACATGGATTTTGCAAGGGCAAATCAACTTCTACAAATTTACTTGAATTAACATCCTATATCTTAAAAGCATTTAGTGAAAGCAAAACTGTTGATGTTATATATACTGACTTCAGTAAAGCATTTGACAAAGTGTGCTCATCTATAAACTTGATATTCTTGGTCTTCCACCAAATTTTCTTTATGCCTCTAAATCTTAAGAAATGTAAAGTAATGTGCTTCTCGCGAAGAGCTGTTCTGCCAGTTTCTTATATAATAGGTAACCATAACCTGGAACAGGTATACAATTTTGTGGACCTTGGTATCACAATGGATCCTAAGCTTAATTTTAATCTTCACATTAATGTGACAGTCAACAAGGCTAAAGGTGTACTTGCATTTGTGAAACGATGGTCAAAAGAATTTAGTGACCCTTATATCACTAAAACCCTGTTTACAACATTAGTTAGGCCGATTCTGGAATACGGCTCGGTGGTTTGGAATCCAAGGTATCAAATTTACTCAGACAAGATAGAATCAATTCAAAAACAATTCCTACTTTTTGCTTTAAGAAATTTCCGTTGGGATTCTCAATATAACCTTCCACCTTATACGAGCCGATTAAAACTTATTAATCTTCCTACACTTTCCAGCCGCAGGCAAATGCTTGGTACAATTTTTATAGTTAAATTACTAACAGGCTCAATTTCAAGTCCGCTTCTTCTTGGCGAAGTTAGCCTTAATGTTCCCTCCCGGGTATCAAGACACTTTTGCCCCCTATTTCTGAAAGCTTGTAAAACTGATTTTGAATTGCACGACCCACTCCGTTGCTTATGCCAGGATTTTAACTCTCATTCCAGCACGTTTGATATATCAGATCCGCTTTTCAGCATTAAGAAATCGATACTGTCCTCTCTCAATAAATGAATCATTAAAATAAAAAAAATTGTAAATACTGGTTCCGTACGTCATGCGGACTGCACCCCTCGTGCGGATGGGCGGGAATGGAGAGTAAAAACCGTTGGGATTATTATTAAAAAAAATCCAATTTCGGGCAAAAAATGTCAGTTACGCGGTTTTACATAACGACGATACGCGGCTTTGTACTTTAAACGACGATATGTATACAAATTTTCTCGATTTTACCACCAGCAGGCTTTTTTCAAATGAAAATATGGCTGTCAAACTACCAGATTGCCAGCAATAGATCTCGAGCAATAAAAATAAATTAGTGTTCGCAAGTTTGGAATCTTTATTTTAAACTAAATCTTCGGGTTACCCGTGTGGACACACTAACCCAAAAGCATTGTACAAATAACTGAACCATACCCAACAAAAGAACGTTTGCTTGTTCAAATTTCGAAATATTTTAAATAAGCAAAACATGAATAATAGAATTTGAAGGATTTTAGATATTGGATATGGTAGCATGAAATGTCACAATCACGGGCGCAAGCCCCCCTAAATTCCAAAATTTCATCGTAAGTTTCATTCTATGAATTCATAATCAATTTCCAATTCACAAAATATATGCAATAAATTAAAACTTTGGGTGTCTTCACATCCATGTCGGTAGTTTTGGTAAACTGCTGGTTGACCCTCGATAATTTTATCAACTGTGAACATCCTTTTCAGCTTACTTTTGTTAGTCTGATAAACAGTCATTTACTTAAAAAAAGGTAAAATAATTATTATCTTGTAATATTTTCTCTTAGTTTGTATTTGAATTTAGGTTTAGGTATGCTTAGCGTTCATGGAAGTTTTGTAGAAAAAACGAAACTGAAATCATCACTGAAACAATTTATAAACAAGTACCTATTTTTTTTAGCAAAAAACAAAACCGGGTCAATTCTCATGTAAAACTTTAAGATCTAAACCAAATTATGATAGGACCACCTCTGAGGTGCCACCTTTCCTTTAAAAAAGAATTATCGAAATCGGTTTTGCGGTAACATATGTACATAAAAAAATATTCCGACGAATAGATACCCTCCTTTTTTTGAAGTCGGTTAAAAATAATGAAAAAATTACGATATTGGTGTAAAGACGATTAAGGTAACTAACAAATTTGTATTTTAACTCTTCAATAAATTCATAATAAACTTTATGCAATATAAATTCCTTTGTAGAGCTCGGTACAGCTCAATTGTTAAACTAACAAGTAATTTTTAAACAAAAAACACCCTCGACTTCAATTCTCATATAAAAATTTAGAAGTCCCGTTAATTTCTTCATGATCCAATGATCGGATCTAAACCAAATTAGTATGGGACCTCCCCTTAGTCACCAGAAAAAAAATGATCGAAACCGGTTAATGTGGTCCAAAGTTATCCGGTAACATACATAAAAATATATTCCCATGAATTGATAACCTCCTCCTTTTTTGAAGTCGGTTAAAAAGAGAAAAATTAATGAAATAATTTTGATTTCTGTGCTAGAATTCCAATTCTTGATAAATAATAAAAAATTGACAAATTATAAAAATTTTGTATTTATCAAGTGCACAGAATAGGGCTGTTAGAGCCATTTCAACAATATTAGAGTGGACTCTCTGCCCATGTACACATTCGCATTCGCAAAACATTCGTATCATTTGATGCGAATGCGAATGTGTAAAATTAAGCGAATTATTCTCATAACGAATTCGAAAGCAAATATTCGCAACATCCCTGACGTACATATAAATACAGGGACGAGAACCGGTTTTGAACCGAACCGGGTTTGAAACGGAAAACCGATTTTTTCTATTAATAACTGAAGCATTAACCAAATCGAAATTTTCAACAAATGTTTGATCCGAACCGAAAACCGAACCACTTTTCATAAAGGTTTAAAGGTTCGTTTAAACCAATTTTCAATAGATAAATTTACACGCTTTTGTTTCTTTTCGTTAAATATGGTAATACATACCATGTTTGTTCACCATGTGGCAACATCAAATGTAAAGGCAACTCATCTCATTTAACATACACTTGAAATTTAACCTTGTGCGTTGTTGCACTTGACACTTTACACTTATACTTGCGCGTTATTTTTTTTATTTCCGAACCATTGAACCGAACCAAAACCCCGGTTCGAAGACTAAAAAAACCGCTTTGTCGAACCAATCCAAAAGTGCAAAAACGGTTCGAACCGCTGAATCGAACCGACCAAATTTTTCATCCGGGTCACGTCCCTGTATAAGTATCAGAGCCACGATGTAGAAAATAAATTTGGCGCCATCCGCGTACCGCTAACCCTTCGTCGATTTCACAGCATTAGACTATTCGCTCACGTCATGAAATACTTTTTCGCACTAGGGATGAAAAATTTAAAAAAATTTAATTTTCAAATTGTACCTATTTGCCGAAAAAAATGTTGCTAAAAGTACATCAATGTACCTGAAAATTAAATATGTATTTTTACCGTATACATTTTTGATAACGAGAGGCAAACTCCCTCTTCGGTACCATCTTTGTTATTAAAAATTTCCTTGAAAGGAGTTCCAGCCAAAACTATATAGGTATTCACTAAGTTAAGTGGCCTGGCACTCTGTCAAAAGAGCAGATTAGCTCCAGCAACGATGGTCACCAGAGAGCCAGGCATGGACGGAAAATAAAATTTGAAAATTGTACTTAATTTGAGGAAAAAATTTTACCTAACAGCAGACGAATATATCTAAAAAAATTACATGTCAATACATTTGGTACGAATTTCACATCATTTCAAATCTGTTTAACAGTATGAAAATACGACGGAAAACTATCATGCCTGATATTGGGATTCATGTTCTGTAGTGCTTTAAGCTCTTCAAACTGGAAGAACTTTTCGAGGCCAAACGAAGTTTTGGACAAGGCAAATAATTTTCTCTCGTTAACCCCTGTCTACGTGCTGCACCAACTTGTCAGCACTCAGCTCTTTTGGCCTTGCTTATGAAAAAATTGGTTGCCTAAACCCTCTATATAAGCTCTATATTCGTATTTCGCCAAAATGTTGGTTCAGATTTTGATAGGTCTACTATGTATGTATATAATTTATGTAAATTAATCGGTATTTGAATATGTGTTTTGACCTAAATATTTCATGTTAAATGCAATCACATTTAAACCTTTCGAGCATTTATTCAACCTCAAGAAAGAATCGATAGAGATTGGTTCAGGGGAGAAAGAGGAAGTCAAATTACCTCCTATGAACAGACAAAGGGGGCATGACATTGTTGATAGACATTACTTTGAATATTTAAGGAACTGAGTTTACTGAAAAGAACCAACCTTGACAAAAAATTCTGATCAATCTTGTCTGCTCATGTGACACAATAACGTAGACGATGTCTGATAAAGAAGAGATGTGTGCCATTTCAAAACCTAACAAGCTGTGATGAAATTCATTGCCAAGACTCTCCGTATTTATCTTGCCAAATAGGGCGTAGAGTTGTCGTAGCGTTTTCGATCTAGTTGCGATAGACTGTCTACACGGCGAAAAAGTCTAGCTAAATAACACTTACGTAGATGGTGTAGGTGAGTCTCTCGGAGATCTATATTGAGAGTTAACACGTCTCTAGCGAGATTTTTTTTCTAAGTCTCCCGTTTCTTCTCTACCGTGTACATTTAGCTTTAGAAAAAAAATTTCTATATGTTGCTAGGACTAGGAATAAAACCTTGGTCCTTTCGAGTGATAAGTAGTCGACAACGGCTACCGCTACCCCAAAACAACTGATCGTATTAAAACCGCAATGGTATAAATATTCACACTTTTGAAATTTCAGACACGCAGCAAGGTTCGCCGATATGTTAGCTGGTCTTAAAATAAAAAAGATGTGGTTGTTAAATGGCCGGGTTAAAAAATGAATGAAAATTTAATGCTTACACTGAATTTTTCGTGTGCTTTACCAGCATCACTTGAACGTACATGAATTAGGTTGCGTTTTTGTAGGGCATCAAATTTGCTAAAACTCGTTTTCTAAAAAAGAAAAAAAAACATTATTTAATTTTATTTAAATTAATTGAATTGAATTTATTCTAATTTGATTTGATTTAATTTAATTTGGATTGATATAATTTGATAATAACAATAATAGTCATATTTTGGGGCTTACACTCTTTCAAGTGTTTGGCCGAGCTTTTCCTTGATGTTGTTTTTTATAAGCGTTGCTAAATGTCCCGCTTTTGCCGGGACGTCCCGTATTTTGCACTAAATTTGAAATGTTCCGCCGGAACAAGATTTTTCCCGTATTTTCGACAATTTCATTATTTTTTTCAACCTGTAAACTTCTACTCAACATGGTCATGGTTTAACGCGGCTATTGTGAGTAGGTCATTAGCAAGCATTATTGTATGCAAGCGAAATATAGCTTAAAATTACCGTTGATTTTTTTTTGTGGAGGGTGTTGCGAATTTTCTTCCATACAATGCATGAACAAAACTGACTTTTATATGGAAGAAAATGCGCAACACCCTCTACAAAAAAATTAAAAAAATCAATTGTAATTTTTAGCGATTTCAAACTTGCACTTTATTGTACTGAAATTGAATGGGCTATAAAACCGCATACTCGAACTCTTTCTAGGTAGAGTCGACCGATTAATCGGCATCGGCATCGGCTAGTATTGGCCAAAAGAATCGGCATCGACATCGGCCGTTTTTGGCCGATTCTTAACCGATTCTTTTTACTTTTTTTCCCACTTCAGTTCCATGTTATTTATTTTTTACTTTTTTAATTCCCCTAAATCTTAAAATATTAATGCATCATGCTTCGTGTTTATGATGTACGGTGGCGAGAATGTAAATAGGGAAGACACATTTAGCAAGTTTTGGCTATTTTTCTTTGTTTAAAAAATGTTTATTGTTTTCTTTATGAAAATATAGCTTACTATCTAAACAAAACCCTGTAAATCAAAATTTCACACTTTGCAGAACATTTATACAATTTCGACAAATTTTAACAAATGTTCATCAAAGTTCGAAACTGTTAAATCAGATTTTATAGAACTTTTTTGAGTATGCAGTTTTTTTAATTTTTGTATAATAAAATAATAATGGAAATTTTCTTCCATACAAAGTATGTACGAATTTTTTTATGTAGAAAGTCAGCAACATCTTCCACAAAAAAGTTGCCAGAAATCAACGGTAAGTCCTAGCAACTTAAAACTTCACTTCGTATAATAAAATTGAATGGGCTGCAAAGCTGCATACTCAGAATGTTTCTAGAAAATCTAATTAAAAAGCTGTCGAATTTTGCTAATTTTTGTACAAAGATTGTAATTTTTGTTTACATGGTTTTTGTTAGATAACGAGCTACACTTTCAAAAAGAAGTAATAAAGATTAAATAAACGAAAGGGAGATAGCAAAAGAATGCTAAAAAGTCTCTTCCGTATTTATATTTTCGTCACAGTATATATTGTTACGATTATCTTTGAACTGATCGCTGAATTCCTGAATCTTTCGGGTTCTTTTCAACGGATTGTTAAATTATTTACGTTGCAACAATACTTTCATCATTATTTTAAAATTTACGGTTACTGTTTGTTAACAAATTGTATTGAAAACACATTTATGTATAGTCATCAGAAGCTGCATAATTTTACTATTATGAGTACAACTAGGAAATGTAATTTCGAATGAACTATATATTTTACATTGAATAAGAAAAAGACTATGTAACAAAGTATTGCAATGAAATGTATAAGCAATATACTATTTTTTAAAACATATTTATGTATGTACACAAATAAGTGAATGGATTCTTGGATGATTTAGTAAGTTTATTTAGTTATTTGTTTATGTTTCTATTTTGTTATTATAAAAATTTATTAAATTTATTTGTTCTTGAATGAATTTATATTGAGGTAGTTTTTTTAAGGAATCGGCATCTGCCGAAAATTGGGAATCGGTCATACTCTATTTCTAGGAAATCTAATTAAAAAATCGAAATTTGTATGAAAATTTGTTTAAGTTTAATTAATTTTTGTGAACTTTTTGCTATAGATCGACCCATATTTGAAATGAAAATTAAAAAACAATAAATCAATAAAGATAAGTTGCCAACAGTATCATTTTGAATTTCCCTGCTATTATTTTGACCGCAACTTTATCTCTTACATTGTTTTTATGGTTTTGCCAATTATATGTTTACGTACATACATATTTTTGTATAAATTAAAAAGTATTGCCCTGAAATAAACGAAATTTATAACAAGCTTATAACTAATCTGAGCAATACTTCGTTGAAATGGATCACCTTTGTTAATATATGGTTTGTAGTTGGGCTTTTAAAGCAAATCCTTTATTTCTCATTTGTCCCGTTAAATTTTTGTAAATCCCATATTTTTGGGACAAATTATGTACTTGTCCTGTATGGCTGTAAAAAAATCTGGCAACACTAGTTGTTACACAAATGCGTGCAATAGAGTCTGACCGACTAATCGGCATCGGCTAGTATCGGCCAAAAGAATCGGCGTCGGCATCGGCATCGGTATCGGCCGTTTTTGGCCGTTTCTTAGCCGATTCTTTTTACATTTTCCGCAATTATTTACGTTACAAAAATACTTTTATCATTAAAAATCTACGGGTACTGTTTATTTAAAAATTGTATTCAATACAACACCTTTATAGTCAGCAGAAGCTGCATATTTTTACTGCTATGATTACAACTAATAAAAGTGATTTCAAATGAACTATTTTCTTAACATTGAATAAGAAAAAGACTATGGAACAAAGTTTTGCAATATGTATGCATAGGCGATATACTACTTTTAATACATATTTATGTATGTACATTAGACTGCATCACTCCACATAAAAAAAAATCGGTACTGGGTTTCCATTGGAATTATAAAATCTATTATATTTTAAGACGTCCACCAAAATATTTCGGTAAACTATTAAGATTTACGTGAGCTGGACCGATTTGAAAATACCTCCAAAAATGGAGTTTTTTTATGAATAAAAATAGTTTCTTAAAGATTAAAAAAAAAAAAATCCCCTCAAATGACAAAACGGTTTAAGCTTAAGAAATGCGAATGAAAATATTTAAAAACAAGTAAGAAAGTCTAAGTTCGGGCGGAGCCGAACATTAAATAACCGGCGCAAGTATTTAATATATGGCTTTCACCTTTCCGAAAGCTACCGCTACATGGTAAGCTGGGGCGTAACAATTTTGAATAAATTAGAGTCCTTAAATTTCGAAATTTTGAAGTTTCAAGCAGTTCTGAAATTTACCGTTATATGAAAAGCTGCCTCAATTTTAGTCCGATTTCCATAAATTTCAACGTTTTGCTTTTATGTGGCAAGCACAATAACCATACCGAGTTTGGTACAAATTGGTAGAACGGTTACCGAGATACATATATGTGATCATAAGTGGGCGGTGCCACGCCCATTTTCCAAAATTTTATCATACACTTTTTTTTTTGGAAAAGAATTGTTGCAAGCATCAATTTTGAATAAATTAGCTTTAATATTTACTTTAATTTATCGAAGATTTTGTATTTCTCTAAATTACCGCTATATGGGATGTAAGCGTGGTTATTGTCCGATTTTAAAAATTTTCGGCCATTTGGTATGTTGTGCGAAGGCCAACAACTGTGCCAAGTATGGACGAAATTGGTGCAGCGGTTACCAAGATATACACATGTAACCATAAGTGGGCGTGGCCACGCCCATTTTCCAAAAATTTATAATATTCTTATTTTTCGTCTAAAGCTTATTGTAAATATCAATTTTGAGTGAATAATCTCCAATAGTTACTAAAATATCGCAGTTTTCGTATTTTTGAAAATTACCGTTATATGGGAAGTGGGCGTGTGCACAAGTGCGCTCGGGTATAAAAATTAAAAAAAATGTTGAACGGAATCGTAATTGGTATAAGAAAGACTTGAATAGCTGAACCTAACCTCCTCCGATTTAGACTTGTGAGGTATCATTGGAAAGGTATTTTCTCACCCGTTGTATTTCTTTGCTAATAAACTCGTTCATAGGATGAAAGAGAAAGTTAGGATGAACGAACTTCATTCAAAGTTGAATTAGGATGTATTGGTATTTGAAAAAAAATTGGGTCACGAATGACTTTTTTATGCACAGAAATAAAAATAGTGGGAGAATGCCTTTCTACTGAGATCTCATAAGTCTAAGTCAGAACAGTTTTGGCCTAGTAACAGTAAAACCCGCTTAAGTACCTCACGCAAAATGTCAGCTTTTTGAGGTACTTAGACGAGTTGGGTACTTAAAAAAACCCGCTTAAGTACCTCGATGCGGGTACCAAATTTATTTATTAAAAATATTTGAAAGTTTTTTTTTTATTTAATTTAAATGTTAATCGAAGTCGTAGTCGTTGTATTAATCTTAAACAAAAGCTTAATTAAAATCTTCGACTTCACCTTATCTTAGTTCTAATCTTCATTTAATTTCAATCTGAATACTTATCCTTACACTAATCTAAAGCTCAGTCCTAATCCTATTCCTAATTTTGATTCTCGGGCATTATTCAACTTACCACCGATATATTTTGCTGATCCTTTTCACCTTTCTTACTCCTCTTGCTTTTCAATTTCTTTTTGTCAATGTCAGCTCCTTCCTCAGGTTTACTTGCATTGCTCTGTTGTTCCTGTGCCTGGATCTTCTGTTCGCTGTTTTCAACAAATGTCGCTTTAGTAGTTGTTGAGACTGCCGACACCGACGCGCTAGTTGCCGCTGATGACTTTTTCTTACTGGGCTTGGGCGGAGAGCTGCTTTTGTCTTTTGTGATCCCACTGAGGCCATCGCGAATACTATTGCTAATATCAATACTTAATGTCTCGTCAATGTTGTGACTCTGTGTTGATTTTCTAGTTACTTTACGTGTAGTTTTTGTGTTCGCCACCGTCGTTATTGATAAACTGCTAGACATATTTGCTAGGTGTTGTTCTTCTACGTTGATAACTGTTTGATATTTCTGGAAAAGTTGTAGAATATTATAGAGTATTTGCCCCAATTATATGAATATAATAATCTGGAACGGGAAGTGAAGATATTCAACAGAAAAATTGGCGGTTATTTCTTAAAAGTCGGGTGCACAGAACATGAGCGTTTTTCTACTTAAAAAACGGTTGAGTATAAGAAAAACTCATCACGCGCAGAAGTTTCTATTTTCAAGGTTATTTTAAAGTTCAAAGTAATTATTTTATAAACTGAGTTTACTATTCCTGAATAACCCATCTAAAACCTTTAAAATACTCTTACGTTGATAACTGTTAGATATTTATGGAAAAGTTGTAGAATATTATAGAGTATTTACCCAAGTTATATGAATATAATTATCTGGAACGGGAAGTGAAGACAATCAACAGAAAAATTGGCGGTTATTTCTTAAAAGTGGGGTGCACAGAACATGAGCGTATATATTTTCTACTTAAAAAGCGGTTGAGTATAAGAAAATACTCATCAGGTACAGAAACTTCTATTTTCAAGGTCATTTTAAAGTTCAAAGTAATTATTTTATAAACTGAGTTAAAATACTCTTACATCGCTGTCTGTTCCTGTTCCCGAGATAATTTATTTTGTCCTTTTTCCAAAATAGAACATAACGTATTGTCGGGGCGGAACCTCCAATAATGAGGAAAACTCTTTTCAGATGAAAATTTTTCGAACTAGATCTCACCTGCAACTAGTATCTGCAGGCGAAATAGCGTACAGGTATTCAAACAATCCAATTTACGCACCATGGATTTGCTTCAACTTTGGGAAAAATGTCCTTCAATTTAGAGGAGCAGAAACACCGCGAATATATATTTTTAGTGCTGACATAAGTCGAATTATTTTTGATTAGAGATTTCACTCTGTAGATCTCGTTGCGATAAAAATAGTCTGCCTATGCAGTCGCCTATCTGATGCCCACGATGTTTAAAATTAATAATAATAATAATAATAAAATTAATCAATAACACTGGATCACAAATTTTAATTTGGTTTTTGTTCTCCAGACGCCACTATCCAATTCCTATGTAGAATTGCTCGGTGATTCCGAAAATCAAGCTTTTTTTTTCTATCTATACGTTTTCGAGATATTTGAAATTTACCGCTATTCAGCTTAAATCAAAAATTGATTAAGTTTAATCACGTATATCTTACGAACCAATTTAAAAATCTTAATATAAAATACGGCAAATGAAAGCCAATGCAATTTTCCATAAACCGTATATACATACATCACTTTCCGATAAGGTTTATAGTTTCTGACAAATTAACTAATCATTCCAGCTTTTTTTATTCTTTAATGAAAAAATGAAAAAATAAATAAATTTTAACAAAAAAAAAATTTAAAAAGAAACTAGTTCTGTGCCGAATTTTTGCATTTGTACTAAAGCCTGTTCTGTTACAAAAAAAAAATCAAGTTACTGATGAAGAAAATCGATGGATAAATACGAAGTAATCAGTGGTCAAATAAAAGTGCGCAAGATTATTTGTATGAACATAGAACATTTTTGCTGTAAACCAATGTAATTAAAGGTTCGATAAACTCGCACCGCTCCCTTAACAGTGGCACAGTGTTGCTTCTTTTAAAATTTACTTGAACAAGTGTAGCTTACGTGTGAAATGGAAGCATACGTTTTTGTGCAATATGTTAACTTGTATACATACAACAGTAAGGTTTTATTAATAATAATCCCAACGCATTCGCATTCGCAACCGCGGAACTTCCGCATAAATTTTAACATTCGCATTCGCAATAATCAATGCGGAGCTTTTGCGAATGCGAATATTGTGCAAGTGCACTGATAAAACGTATATCTGGCAAACAAAAAATTTTAGCCAACATTTTTTTGCCTGTGGGGATGCTACGTTAAGGCTGTCCCCTATGTGGACCTTCTTTCGTAATTTAAAGTCAAAGAGTAAGATAATAGTAGGTATTTCCAGCGGAAATATTCAACGCTGGCTATAAAGAGAGTCGACTAATTGCGCGTTAAAAGATTACCTTTAATTGGGTAAGAGTTATGTAATTATCGAATATTATTTGTCAAAGGTCTGTTGAAAAAACTGGATGCATCGCTAGTTTTTTTTCGACTTTATTTTATAAAAGTGTAATTATTTTTTTCTCATAAAAGTTATTATTCTTAAGTTTTGTGTTTCCTTTATTAGTCTTTCAGCTCGAAAACAAAAACATTTATTTTGATTTTGTGTAAATTGTCAAAATTAGCACGCATCGAAATAAAGATGAAATGACATATATAATACTCCTATATTGGCAGTAAGAGCTAGTACCGTCCGAAGACAGTACAGTACAGATATATCAATAAACACGTACGAAAGAAAAGGAACACACACGTTTATAAATAAACATGTACACAACACATATACAAAAACGGCACTCAAGTACACAATACATTGACAAAAACTGTACTAGACTGTCTCGCTTTGATTTCGGAATGCTTACACATTGAGAAGCTACCCAACAAGCATTTCAGTAAATGTTTTTAAAAATAACTTAAAGTAAGTTTGCTATAATAAGCGTTAAATAAGCATTTTTAATATTAAGCTTATTAAAAGTTTTTTCAAATAAAGCTTTAATAAGTTTTGAGAGCGAATGTTTATAAATAACGTAAACTTATAAATGAAATGCAAATGCGAACGACATGAAGTAGTAAATATAACATTTTTTCCATCGTAAGTGACGTGTTTACGTTTTTTTAAATATATTATTAAAAGAAAAAATTAAATAAAACCAATGCGGTAAAACAAGAAAATCCAATCCAGGACTCGCTGCGCTAATCGGTGGAGCATTCGAGTCGTCAAATGATGAGTTCTTCTTATCCTTTCTTAGTTTAACATTCAATTAAAAATATATTAAATTTTTTTCAGAAAAGTTTATCAATGAGAATGGCGGCGATAAAGCGGAATATATAGCTGCATCGATGTCGTTTTTCCAATTTGCCAATAACCGCATGTAATTGAAAGCACGCAACAAGATGTAATAATTAACTTTTTTATGCTTAATTTTTGTGGGTTATCGTGAATTTGTATGCTAAAATGTCTATTTCCTATTTATATTTTCGCGAGTGTAGATGAGTCCACCGAAAATTCGCATTTCTTTTAGTTTCTAGATGTTAAGCAATCTATGTATTAGTTTTAAACGAAATATCTTTAAATAAAGGGTTATAAAAATGTTTATAAAAAGCTTTCTTTTGAAATTTTTAATAAGTTTATATTCATACGCTTATAAAAAACTTTTTTTGAACCTTTATTATAAGTTTACACTTTTACGCTTATAAAAAGCTTTCTTTTGAACATTTATTACAAGTTTATATTTCTACGCTTATAACCAATGTTCCTTTTCGATTATATTACGCTTACTTTCAAGCGTTTTATAAACAAAAAATCAACGTTTTGTAAGCTTAATGTTTATAATTGAAAACTTAAAAAGAACTTTCTTTAAGTTTATTTTGCTTGTTGGGTAGCTTACTGCCAATATAGAAGTATTACATATATGTGAAATGATGTATAAATAAGTCGACAGCCAAGTTCACAAATTACATAAGAATTAATTCAAGGTGAATTTTATATCTATTTAGGAGTGGTACTTGGCATGTAATATATCGTTAGTATAGTATGGAAAGGGCTTAACTCACATCGTCACTGAAATACAAAAAGTCGTAACTAACTTAACATCTAAAATTAATCTTTTTGTTTGATTATGATGCATTTCCTCGAATCATTAGTCCCCACATCGTTTTAGGCAATACAAAAATTTAGTTAGTTGTGGTTTTTTGCATTTCAGCGAGAATGTGNAGTATAGTATGGAAAGGGCTTAACTCACATCGTCACTGAAATACAAAAAGTCGTAACTAACTTAACATCTAAAATTAATCTTTTTGTTTGATTATGATGCATTTCCTCGAATCATTAGTCCCCACATCGTTTTAGGCAATACAAAAATTTAGTTAGTTGTGGTTTTTTGCATTTCAGCGAGAATGTGAATAGTATTAACGATACATATGTTGAAAATTTGCGTTCATTCGCCTTAAAAAAATATATCAAAACACATTGAGCGCATGGAATGCAACAAAACGGATTTGATGGCTTATGATACCGACAGCGGTGAGTAATTAATTGTGACTGCCTGCAACTAGGAAAATCCGAGTTCAGCTAACTAATAAAAAAAAAAAACTAATTCCAAGTTATTCATTATAGGAGAAGCTTTCGAAGAAGTCACCCGGCAACTAAGCAAATCTGAGACCTTTATCGTCCGTGATTCCATAATTCAAATTACTATAAAAAACGCGGTACCTTTTTAACAAAATAACAAGATTTTAAACTAATTGTGCTGGCAGCCACGAATTTCAGAATTTTCTTCGAAATTTTCATTCCTAGAAAATAACAATTTATTTGCCATATTGACCTATTCACAACCTCGCTATAAGCGCACATTTTTCAAACCAGTCACAGAAGACAGAATTAAAAATGAATTACAAAAACTAGTATCGAAAAACGCTGATGACGTAACAGGCTCTCCAAATTCTGAAACAACCAAAAGAATTAGTGCTCCAAATTGGAACATAACGGTGTTTAAACAACGATCTTGCCAAGATGATAGAATGTGAAGATGAAAGTCAGGAGGATACATCCGATGCAATTCCCAAAAAGGAATTGTTGCACCGCAATAAAAAATGAAATATAACTGAAAGTCCTCTCAACTGGTGCAGCGTCATTCGAAGAGTTTACAATTTTGTCAAGTTTCAAGTTTTTGAAGTTTGTCCCCTCGAGCGAGTAGTTATTTAGTGGCGTAGGTTTGATTTACGACCCGTTAGGAAACAGGCTGTAATCCGAAAAGGCAGCAAAATTACTCTTTCGTAAATACTATGTTCAAATTTTTTAATTGAACTACTAAATAAAAAAATATTATTAAAAATTAATAACTTTAAAATTTTGTATATACCTAAATCCCCTAATCTACTCACC